GGGGGGGGAGCCGCTTGTCGCCGAGCTTCCCTGCCCCCACTCTCCTGTTCCTCCTCCTGGAAACCTCTGCTCCCTCAGTATAACCCCCGGAATCCTGAGCCCCTAAAGCTATTTGTCTTTCCCAAAAGGGGGTCCTCAGACCTGGAACGAGGTACCATCTCTGAGTCCCGGGGTGAAGGACCCTATTCTTTCTCACCTCCTCCAGAGGGAGCCCTTGGGGTCGGTCATCAGCTCACCTGAACAAAGATGGGGAACACCAGGACCTTGGGGGCCAGGGTGACGTAGGTGCCATAGCTTGAGTGTGGGGCATGCGGCCTCATGACCGGGCAATTCTGGTAGTTCCCATGGCCCTTCATGGTCTGCACCGTCTTCATCAGCCGACACTTCTTCCCCAGGCCCGTGTAAGACTTCCCTTTGCTGGGACTCCCTGATTCTGTGGAACAGAGATGGGGGACCGTGAGGCATTTCTACGCCCCCTGCAGAGGCAGGCCTCTGCAGAAACAGGGAACATGGTCTCAGTCCATTAACAGCCATTAACAACAGCGGCTACCATGCGCCGGGCCCTGAGCAAGGTGCTGAGAGGACAGGGAGGCCTCAGAAGGAATCCCCTCACACTCTGTGAGAGATACTACCGTGTAAACCCACAACTCCAGGGCAAGGACAGGTTCAGGTCACCAGGACCTGAACCAGACCTATCGGTTTGGCCTCGTACATTTAAAAATCAGAAAATCTCTCAGATTCGAAAAATCAGAAGATCTGACCTCACCGGGCCCACAGTCCCACGTCAAACAAGCAATCAGATGGAGCGTCCTGGGTGGCAGAGCACGTGTGGTCCCCCTTGTCCCCATCCCCACTGCTCCCTGCGCACACCCAACACTGCTGGCCCGTTTCATTGCCTCCCAGGTCCCTTGAACAAAGGGACTGGAGGTCACGTCTCTGCAGTGATAGCAGAGACAGTGGGCTTTCTCAGGATGTATGGGTGTCTGCCTTCTACTAGCCAAGGGAGCTGGAGCGGCCTGGCTCACTGAGTCAGTCCGGAATAGGGAGTGGCACCTGCCACTCCAGTTCCCGGGGAAGAGCACCCGTTCTGAGCCAGAGGGCTGCACCCAAATCCCACTCCTCTGCTCCCCAGCTTGGTGACCACCAGAAACTCACTTCGCCCCTCAGAGTCTTGGTTTCCTCACTGCAGTTATAGTACCAAGCTCATGGGGTCGCTGTGAGGATTAAATGAGACACTCCAAGTAAAGCCCCTAGAATAATGCCTGGGACCTGGTAAGTGCGCGGTAAAAGTGAGCTGCTAACTTCTTGTGGTTTTGTTGTTGTGATTTCTCCACTTGGGAAAGCGAGTTAATCAGATACTCCAGGGACTCTGGGAATCCTAGGCTTCATCGCAGCCAGGAGGTATTCCCCGGCTTGGCTATCAACTCACAAATTATTCTCATCAGAAAAGGGGGAGGGAGAGAGAGAAAGAGAGAGAGAGAGAAGAGAGAGAGAGAGAGAGAGAGAGAATGAATCACCCCCAGGGAAGAGAGCAGAGAGCTGCAGGGAGTCCCTCTATAAGGTGCCACAGCAGGACACACACCCTCATACTGAACAAGGGGTGGCATACAGATCTTTATCATGTCTCATCCAATGGGCAGAAGAGCAAAACACAGAGTAGCTAAAAAGTCAGGAATTCTTGGACACAAGCAGGTAGGAGATAAACTCCAGGGCATTCAGACTCTGCACACACCTGGGCCCCCTCCGAGGGTCCCTGCTGTCAGGTGGGCAACTGATCAGCCCTCCCTGACCTGAATGTGCAGTCCACGGGGGCCCAGGTCTCCTTCCGCCACCCCCAGTCCTGGCAGCCTGGGGGTGAACAGGTGGCCTGACCCCAACTACATCTCGGGGAAGCTCCCCACCAACGCGTGGTCCACAGCCTCAGGGGAAAAACTCAGCTCGGAAGGTTTCACACTTTCCTCCTCTACCCACCCCATGCCCCTTCTCACCGAGCAGGGTAAGAAAAACAAGTCAACCCACACACACAAGTGACCACTGATCACAGCAGTATCCTGGGGCAGCACTCGAACCATAATAACCTAAACCACTTCCTGCTTCTTCAGGGAGTCACTTAGAGAAGAGTAAAAAGAGCGTGCACCCAGGACAGGGGCGGGGGGCAGATGCATGGAAGTACCTACCCAGCTCCTCGTCTGCTCTGGCCCCGGACGTCCGCCCCAGAGGGCTCTGTGCTGCCAGGCACTGGCCCCTTTGCTGAAAGAACCCATCCTGGCTCTCAAGCTCTGCACTGGATTTGAGTTGGACAAGACACCTGAACTTGAGCACTGGCCTCCTCCGAGACTGGCTGTGTAATAACCCTGACCAGGTTCCTTCCCCCTCTGAGCCAGAGTTTTCTCCACTGCAAAGCAGAGATAATACAGACTGCTGCCTTGCCTGCCCCAGGGCAGGTGAGGGCGCACACGAGAGACCCGATGGGAAAGGGTTTGGTGAATGGTACCAGGGTGTGAGGGCACGAGGATTATAAACCCAAGCCAACAAATAATCCACCCGTCAGGGCTGGCATTAGGACAGGGCTGCTGCGCCACAAGCTTTACCACGAACGGGGATCAAAGTGTCAGTCTGGAACTAGACAGTCTAATTTAACACAACCGAGCCTAGACCAGAGAAGGCAAAACCACACAGGACCAACAAGCAAGGCAAAGTAGACCAAACTTAACAAAGGGGGCTGTTTGCTAATGCCCAAATCTGGGCTTTTGCCCGCCCCCAGTCTGACCTTTAAAGGAATCCACTTCTTCCCTGCCCTAGCCCAGCTGCATAGGGCTGTCACAGAATCTTTGCCTTGGGCCTAGAGAGTCATGAATAAGCCACTTGACATACACCTTTGCCTTCAGGTGGGAAGCAGCCCCATTTTATAGACAAGGCAACTGAGGCCTGGAGTGACTGAGGGACTTGCCCAAGGTCATCTGGCCAGTAATTGGTACAAAGCGGAATCAACCCAACCTATGTGGCATGCCCTCGTGCCCCATCTCCACATACCCTGGATAGTGTGTAGCAAGTGGGCTTGATTTTCCAAAACTGATTTTTTGAAGTATTTTTTTAAAAAACAGTCCAAGTTATAACCCAGCTACTGAGCTCTGCGAAGGCAAACTCCTTAACTTCCCACCTGCTACCACTTACACCCTCTGGTCTAAACCCCCATATCACCCCTTAAACACCTGCTTCACTGACCAAACAGTAATTACTCGGCTTTGCTCCGGTTTCCGAGGTGAGCCTTGGCAGCCATCCGTCCCCCGGCCGTGGCGAATCTGAGGCTGGGCTGCTTTCACAGGGCAAGGGACAATGCCAAGGGCACCCGCAGCCCTGGAGAACACGCCGACGACAGGCGGGCAGGCACCACAGGCCCCAGAAGGGCACCAGACCCCATTCTATTCAGGTTGGCTCAACCCACCCACCCTCCTGCAAGGAGGTCGAGCAGCCCAGCCAGAGGAGGAGACAGAAGTCGTCACCCTGGCGACAGCTTTAGCCTCTGGAGAACCCTGAGTGCGTTTAAGGGAAGATCTGTACCCTGAATTCCACCCCTTCCTCTGAACCCACGGACCAGGAGCTAGGAATATTTGATCCCTGGTAAAGAGCAAAGATGTCCTTGGATACCAAAATAATTATCATCGTGAAGAATAAATGAAGTCAGGGCTCCTCTGGTGGCGCAGTGGTTAGGAATCCACCTGCCAGTGCAGGGGACACGGGTTTGTGCCCCGGTCCGGGAAGATCCCACATGCCGCGGAGCGGCTGGGCCCGTGAGCCATGGCCGCTGAGCCTGCGCGTCCGGAGCCGGTGCTCCGCAACGGGAGAGGCCACATCAGTGAGAGGCCCGCGCACCGCGATGAAGAGTGGCCCCTGCTCGCCGCAACTGGAGAAAGCCCTCGCAAAGAAACGAAGACCCAACACAGCCAAAAATAAATATTAAATAAATAAATAAATTTTAAAAAAAGAATGAATGAAGTCAGGTCAAGTTCTTAATATAATGCATTCAAAAGTTACCACTGTTATTAACAGCAGCATCATTTCCTCGCTTGTCCCTCTCCCACAGCCTGCGCGACTCTGCCCTTCTTGGTTTACTAAGTACTGTATTCTCAGAGGGGAACCAAAACGTGGACAGAGGGGAGGACACCAAGAGGCATCTCTCGGCCGAAAAGGAACCACACCAGCCTGCCTCAACCCACACATCTCTCCAGCTCCCTTCTCCCATGAGCAGTCTGCAAACCTTGGAGGCAACCAGAGTCACTCCCCTTCAGTCAGTCACTCCAATAAAATTCTGTTGAGTACCTGCTGTCTGTCAGACCCTGGGACCAGCATCAGACACACGGAGGTGAGCAGGCCTAGGCCCTGCCCTTAATGGGGTCACCATTTAGCAGTGACATCTCCACTCTAACCTGATGCGGCAACTAAAAGCTTTTTTAAAACTCAGTGTTGAATCTCCATCAGACTTTTCTCCGGAAGGAACACAGATTCATTTCCAACAGACCAAGCCCTAACACCCAAATGCCCCAGCCTGGAGAGAACAAAGATGGCTTCCATCTGCAACTCTGAGCCTGATGGGAGCCCTTTTCCCTCCAAAGGGCACCTGCTCTAAGCAACCGTCGTCTTCATGCTACTGACAGAGGGGGACAGCAAGGAAGCAAGTCTGCAAGTGGTTGGGAAAAGGCCATTCACAAAGAAGGAGGTCAAAGAAGGAAGGGCTCAAGCATATCCAAGGTCAGCACCATGGACCACCAGGCAAGGTTGGTCTCAACCTTCCAGATACCACCTGGACTCCAGCCAGCTAGACTCAGGCCAGCGCAGAGAGGGCCTAAAGGAATGCCCAGCCAACTCCAGCAGCAACACTGATACCTCAGGTTTCCTGGGAGAAGGAACTGGTTTTGAGCCCAGCTTCTCTCCCTGGCCCTTAAAAAATAAGGTCAGGATTTGAAGGACAAAGGAGAAAAATCCCTTCAAACAGCAGAGCCATCTGTGCACTTCAAAGACAGCTAACTTCTGTGTAACATCACTCAGCAAACAGGCTGCCACTCAAAACCATTATCTCCTTCAATCCTCCCAACACCCTCTGAAGTGGGAATTATCAGCCCCGTTTTATAGATAAAGAAACTGAGGCTCAGTGAGGGGACATGAGTTGCTCAAACTCATACAACTCCAATTTGGAACCTCCCAGCTCCAAGTTCCGTGCCTCCCTCCCGAGCTGGCCTGACCACAGTGCCTACAGCACCTTACACATATTGGTTGCTCAGTAACGTTGGTTGAATCTCAGCTGAATGCCTGAGTCCTGAACACCATCTGTTAGACTGCTCTGGGAAGATGCCCTCTCTTCCTCCTCAGTTCAGGGTCCAAGGAAGAAAGACACTGGTTCAGTGAGGAAGAAAAAGGTCCCAAGAGGAGACAGACTCTGTGTCAAAATGGGGGGGGGATCTTGACTCTGTTGGGAAGGTCTCCCAACTCAGAGGAGGAGGTGGGGCCCAGCCTCGCAGCTAACCTCGCCATCTCTCCGGGGCTCAGAGGGCACAGCAGCAGAGGAGAGACTCACCTTCGGGGATGGCATCCTCCTGGTACACAGGCCGCAGCAGCTGCGAGGGAAAGACATAGAACTACCTCAGCCCCAGGAACGGGGCAGACCACCAGGCAGGCTGCTCAGCCCTGGCCTGGGGACAGGAGGGGAGCACCTCAGGGCACGAGGGCAAAACAGCAGTCCCGCTAACGAGCTGAGAGGGGGGCCTGGAGGGATCACAGAATCTAGAATGTTCGAGTTGAACGAGGCTTTAGCTGTCATCAAGTCTAACCCCTTGAAGTGTGTTCTGTGAAACACTGGCACTTGGGACGCTAACAACTCCGCCACAAAGGGTGCACCGTCAGGGGAGTTTGAGAAATGCTCGGTTAAACAAGGGTAAACCACCTTCTTCACTGCAGATGCCCTCAGAGCCTCAAATAGGCTAATATGCATTGGGAATCTCCCAGAAGAGGAAGAGAGTATAAGGTGTTTCTCAAACTCATTTGACATCAAGAAACTTTCTTCCCAGAGTATCTCCTGGGACCGATATTTTGGGGCACACACGCTGACATTCCATTACTCCATCTTACAGCTCCTACGACGGGCTTGCTGCCTACCACGCAGCCCATTCCGCTGAGGATAAGTGCAGACTGGCAGAAAGCTCTTCCTTCTTTTGAGGTGAAATCTTCTACCGTGTGACCTCCCATGGTCCTGGATCTGTGCCCTGAGGCCACAAAGATCCACCTGCTGTCTCTGCCGGGGACAGCCCAACAGGACAGCCCTATAGAGGCTGGAGCTAACACATAGTCCACTTCCCTGCTCCCCACTCCAAGCCCCTGGCAGGCTCCTCACAACACAACTTTGAGTCTTCGCATCTTCCTGGCCTCACTCAGGGACCCATGCCCTTCACCTCCCCTGAACCAGCTGTCCATACCTGGCTCCCAGGGTTCAGCGGGGCCAGGATGATGTAGTTGGGGTCGGCGGGGGCAGTGGCACGGGACAGTGCAGGCAGGGTGTGCTGGCCCCCGCGCTTGGTCACCTCAGTGTAGCGCTCCCAGCCACCGAGCAGCAGCCCATCCGAGCTGTCACACACCAGGTGACAGCTGTGGCGCTGCTCTGGCCGTGCCTGGGCCCCGTGGGTGCAGTTCTTCTCCCGCTTGTTGGGGGGCGACTGGAGGTCATGGGTCGACTTGCAGGACGCCCGCCGCAGGACCCCGCCATCTGGCCCCGGCTTGACCTGGGGGACCATACGCCACACAAGCAGGATGATCTCGCTGGGGCAGCTCCTGGAAGTTGGAGGAGGCGGGGAGTCACAAAGGGAAGTTGAGTCTGGGGGAGACCAAAGTCAGCCATGGTAGGGGCCTGTGGGGGCAGAGAGGAAGAGAGGGGAAGAGGGCAGGGAAGCCCCAGTGCCAGAACAGGAAGGGATGCAGAGGCCATCTAAAGTAGAGACAGCAAAGGGGTCCCTTAGGTCGACTCTAGTTGACTGGCAGAGGCTGGGAAGGACACTGAGGCCAAGGCCAAGTAAACGAGAAAGAAGACCAAACTCAACTAGCGACGTGCCTCCTGGACACAAAGTGTTATCAAGGAGGAGCAGGCAAGCCACGGCCTGTGTACAACCCCTCATCCGGTCATTCCAGAAGCAAACCTAAAACGGGCCACAAGGGCTTTAACCCAGAGGGTCGAAATTTAGGAGACCCCAAAATTTAAAGAATAACTGTTTAATTGTGCAATTGAAAATGTTCGCAACATCTACGCATCCTTAGGAAACCAAGGGCTTAGCTCTGAGGTAGCAGAACTAATGAGCTAAAGTAGAGAGCGACCCCCTGGAGCTGCACCACGAACCACAGGGTCTGTTTGAGAGCTTCTTCCCCGCTGTCTGCTCTGGGATCCAAAATTGCTCAGAACCTGAACCTTCCAATTTCAGGCCAAGAAACTGATTCCCCAAGGAGCAAAGTGAATTGCTCACGGCTGGGAAGGAGGGACGGGCGAGGCGTGTGCCCAGGTCTGGGGAGGGGAGGGGAGGTGCGGCCCAGCCCGAGGCCCCGGGCTGCCCGCCGCCCCTGTCACCGGATCTCGTGTGCCAGCTCCACGCATTTCCAGTGCTCCACGGGCCTCTCGTTCAGCTGCAGCACCGTGTCCAGCTGCTGCAGCCCTGCCCGCTCTGCCGGGCCCCCTGCAGGGACAAAGAAAAGCCACTCAAGGGCTCCTGAAGCCCACAACCCCCTCAAAAGCCCCGGGGTCCTTTGCTTCCAGTGACCTTGGACAAGGACCGCTCCCCTCTGTTTCTTCACCTGTCAATGAGGGGCCAACCTCGGGGGCTCTCGGGGACCTTGAAGGGAGGCTCCCCTTTGCCCTCACTTCCTCCCTGCCCGCATACCCAGTACTGGCTGACCTCTCTCTGCTGTCCACCTCCCCGCCAGGCCCCCCTCCCTGCCCAGGGCCTCCCGCCCCTTGAGAACCCTTCCTTGCTGCCAGGCTCACAGGCAATGGGGGCACCCAGATCACCATGTCCCAGCTTCTCCACTTTGGATGCTCACTCTGTGACTAGAAGTCTTTTCTTTGTGAAAAATAGGGAGGGAATGACTATTTTTAAGTGCTAATCAGGCTGGAATAGGATAAAATACTGCTTCCAAATCGAGTTCATAAATGACTCTCATTTTCCCATGCAGCCATTACTGAAAATATAGGTTTAGTTCCTGTTTGAAATGATTGGGAAACAAAATATAAAAATCTATTTTCATTTTGATTAAAAACAAAAAAAAAAGAGTAGGTGTATTTTCATAGACCTCACTTTCATCTGTGGTCATTTAAAAATATTATTCTTCTCGTTTTGAAAAACCAGGACAATTTGCTCCAGTTTAGGGCTCCCCTTTCAGTTCCAACATCTTGTTTGCAAAGCCTCGGGCTGGCATCACCCGAGACACTCACTCACCGGAATCCACGGCCTGGACTCGGACCGGAGAGTCGCAGCAGATGGTGAAGCCGAAGCCGTCCTTCCCCCTCGGGATGGTAATCTAGGACACAGCCCTGCCCAGTTACTCCCAGAAGCCATGAGGCTGCTGCCTCTGCTCCAAGGTCGTGAAGAACACAGTCCCCACCCCAGAGCCACCTTCCTCTCCAAGGCTGCTGGAGCCAAGAAGGAGGCTGGCCGGCCCCTCGCCGTCCCTATCTTGGCCCAGGCATCTTGAGCACTGGGTTGTGGGCCAAGCAGGAAGGCTGGGAGCTCAGGAGGTAAGCCAGGCCCATGTGGAAGGGCCCAGACCGAGCCTTGGAAGGCTGAATCTCGCCTTCCTCAGCCCTGGCAGACATGTGGCCTAGCCCTTTACCCAAGGGCCCACTGCACTGCACGTCTCCACCTCACCTGTGACCCACTGCCTGCTCGGTCCCCTCCTCCTTTCCCCAGGGGTTCATGGAGCGTCAGCCCAAGGCTGGCCCCATGCTGAGGGCCCAGAGACAAAGCTGGCCTGTTGGCTGCCCTCCCAGAGCACAGGGGAGGCAAGACAGGGATGCACACACTCACCACCTCAGGCCAAGGGGCAGGGGACACGTGCTAGGGGTCTCAGGGCCGTCCACTGCCAGGGCCTCAAGGTATCAGTGAGGGCTCCCGGGTGAGGGGGCAAGTGAGGGCACAGATAGGCTTCCTGGCTGAACCTGAACTAGCCAATGACCTCACTGTGCCTGCTGCAGCCTGTGTGCGTGGCAGGTGCACAACCCCTACTTTCAGAAGTCCCCTGAAAGGGCCCTGCCACCTGGATGCTCTTTTCAAAGCAACATGCAATTATTGAGCTCCTACTGCATGCCAGGCTCTGCTGAGGTACCAGGTCATGAGGCCTTGGTCTCTGGCTCCCAGAGGAGCATGAGGGTACACTGATCTCTAGAAAGCAAAGCAGGTCATGTTAAGCAGTACAGCAAAACGTGAGGATGGTGCTGGGAAGAGTCCTTTGCGCTTTGACTTTAGATGACAGGCCTGGAGCACGGCAGGAACCAGCAACTGCTCCGCTAGTGAGGACAGCGCTGCAGCCTCCCACCAGCAGCGGAAAGCTGGCAGGGGGCGGCGCGGTCTGCTAGCTCAGTTCAGTTCTACCTTGCTGCATGCCCTCTCTGTGCACCCCCAGTTAGGCTTTGGGAGGGGTGCAGAAAGCCCAGCCCCTGCCCACTCAAAGAGCAATTCCAGGCTGCTCAGAGCAGGTGTATGAGAGCAACAGACTAAGGCAGTTGAAGTCAGAAAAGGGGTCTGGCGCCCTGGATGTGGCGTGGGCCCCAGTGCAGCATGGGGTAGGGCACCCCAGGCAGGCTGAGGAAGAAGCCAGCTCAGCAGCCCTGAGAGAGGTCAAGGGCCACCGCCTCGTTAGGAGACTGCTGTCTCCTTCCTTTAGGGGTTACCTCTTCCAGGCTGGGTGCCCGGCATTCACCTGCCAGCTGTCCCAAAGGCCAGGCATGGGAAAGGGGGGGCCGGGGAGCCTGGGGTGACCCAGGCCCTTGGATGCTGCTGGGGAGGCCCCTGAGGCTCTGCTTCCCACCAGCCCTGGGCCTGGATTCAAAGCGAGTTTGTAAAACAGGAAATCTGACAGACAAGGGGAAGGGGCGGGGGGGGCAGGAAAATACCCTGTTCCCATAAGAATTCTGGGAAAACACACAGCTAAGACAGGAAGAGAAAAAAAATGGAAAGAAAGAAAGAAAAACAAACTCTGGAGTGAGCGCGGAAAGCCCAGACTGAGGCCAAGGGACGATGACAGGAGCCCAGTCCACTCCATGCAACCAGCAGGGATTTTAGGGACCTCACAGCCCACCCTCAACCCAGGCAGAAGCTGGGATGCCAGCATTTTGCTAGCACTTCCCCAGTCCTACACCACCAAGAGCCACGGCCCCTCCTGCCTGGGGTGCGGCTCTGGAAAACCAGTCCCAGCACCCAGGGCTAACAGTTTGGGGACTGGCCCCAAAGCTGAATCTGGGGAGAAGGAGGGTGCTCCAGAAAACAGCCTGTTCCCCGCATCCAGGTGGGACTGTGGACAGGAGACCCCTCTGCCTTCCTGGGCACCAGGCTAAGCAGAGCCAGTCCAGACAACAGTCCAGGCCAGCTGGGGGCTGGGAAGAGGGGAAGAGGAGACGGTGTTGGGAAGCAAGCCCCTCTCCTGCTCAGTGTGAGGGGGTGGGACTGCATAAAGGAAGCAGAATTATGCTCTGTCCATCGTGACCACGACCACGTTGAGAGGACAATGTCCAAAGAACCTGATCATCACTGCAGCCCTGAGGGAATGCAGGGCTAGTTTCAGTATGCCCATTTTACAGAGAAGGAAACTGAGGCCTGAAGCAAGTAAGCTCTCAGCCCTCCTCTCTGACCTCAGGTCTCAGGGTCAAGAGACAAGGGAAGCAGCCCTGCCCTATCTCTGGGACCTCAGCGACTCCTGGCAGAGGCCATCCTTCCTGGGGTGCTTCTTGCTCTTTCCTGTCCAGTGCAGGAACTGCTACTGCTCTCAGATCTCACCCATGCCAGCATCTCACTTCTGCCCTCCTGCCTGATTTCCGACCCTCTGTAATGCTAGACTTCAATCCCAATCCCTAAATGCCATAGTTATTGAAACCCCTGCACCAGGCACTTCATACATATTCCATTTACTTTCACAGCATCGTCACATTATCACCCTATTCCACTGACACGAAGACTGAGGCTCAGGGAGGTAAACTGCCATGCACGAGAGTCAGACCTCAAGAAGGGCAGAGCTGGATGTGAGCCCGGGTCCGGCACAAAGCTGGTGCTCTCAACCCCGCACTACTTTCTAGCAGGGGATCCGTCTTGAACTTGAGTCCCAGAGCCCCAGGCCCGGACCGCACTCATGCCTGGTCCTACTGTGACTGCCAGAGGGTCCCAGTCCTCAGGCCTGTAGTCCCAAGTGACCGAGGACTTCTCGACCTCCCATCCAGTGCCCTCTGTGCCTCACCACCCCGCCATCCAGTTGCCAGCGTCACAGGGGCGCCTCTGCAGGCTCCAGGAGTGCGGGAGGGCCCTGAGAGCTGGGGACTGGAGAGAGAACACACGTGTCCCACTCACGGTGCAGGAGGCCCCTCTGAGCATCTCCCTGAGACCTAAGTCTGCCAGTTTGAAGGAGTTCAGGACCCAGATTCCAGGCTGGTCATTAAAACACAGAGGGATTTTACTATACTTTTAAAATCAGAACCATTCCAGAGTCCCATCAGCTTGGACATTCCCAAAATCTGGACATCCCTTGCCTTCACCCTGTCTGACACCATGCCCTTTTTATAAGAAAAAAAAAAGTCCCTCACAGTTCCAGAAGAGTCTTGGGGGCTAAGGGATCATCACTCCCACTCTGCCCCACGTCCTGAGACTGGAGGCTGAGGGCCAAGCCCTCTCCGTGAAGTTGGGCTCTGGAGCCAGAGGACTCCGGACCCACTTCAAGGCATCACAGCCACCCGGGAGGAAAATCATGTGTGCGCACATATACGCAGACACATCCTACCTCGCTCACAAGCACACACCAACACACGCTAGAACACAATCACACCTACACAACACAGGACAGGCACTGCCGTCCCATCAGAAGTAGGGAAAGTTAGCAAAAAAACACAAATCCAGCTGCTCAGCAACCTCGCCACTTACAAACTCAGGCTTGGGATGCTCTTTTTAACCCACACGCCTCCCAAATAAAAATGACAGAAAATCAACTAGATAATCTCACCATGGACACCACCCAGTCAGTGGTTAGGATGGCGAAGAGCTGGCCTCGTCTGCCCCTAAAGAGGGGCGGCAGGTAAAGGCCACCTTGGGGCCAGTTCCTGCCTCTATCCTCCCCCCCAGATCACAATGAACCTGCAAGGGGCCAGGAGGAGGCAAGAAAGGCCTTGTGGGAAGACAAGTCCTGCTCGGTGAGCCCTCACTCCTGACCCCCAATGACACCCCATGCGTCCCCCAAGGGGCCAAGCACCCACCTGGCGGTAGCGGCGCTCCGAACACACCTTGCAGAGCCCATTGAAGCGGTTCATGGCTGCGGGTCCTGCCTCGACTGCCGCCCCATGAAAACCCGGCTCTCCCCCCCAGCAGTGGGAGCCCGCACTGCGCCCCGTCAGCCTGGCATGACCGCCCTGGGAAGCCCGCCCCGCAGAAGAATGGCAGGAAATCACCTCTCACCTCCCCAAGCCCTGTCTGTGCTGTGTGCCTCTGCACGATAAGCCCGAAGGCTTCCTGAAACCTCCGAATGACAAGGAAGAGGGAGAGTTTTATATTAAAATTCCTGTCAACTAGTTAGTATTCCCCGGGCCCCGGCGGGGAGAGGGCGCCTTTGTTCTGGCTGCATTCTCCGCCATGGGCCACTTTGTGATTCCAGTGTTCTCACAAACACCCCTGGCTGGAGGAGAACCCAGGCAGAAAACACGGCCCACTCTGTAACAACGCCGCCTCCCCCTGCAAATCCCAGGATCCCTGGTACAAATGCAGGGAACTAACTCAGCCTAAGAACCTAAGGATGCTTTGCTCCCACAGACATCCCACGTCAAGACAGGGAATACAAAACATCTGGAGTTTGCCTGCCACTCAGAAGCTACTTAAAAGTCAGTTTCCTCATCCATGTATGTGGGCTGCTTGAAGGATCTGATGACAGACCATAAAGTCAAGTTGGGAAGGGATTTCCAATCACTAGATAATCCAGCATCCTCTTTTTACTGGTGAAGAAGTGGGGGCCTTGAGCAGTTGAGATCACACAGCAGGGTGGGGTGGAGCTGGGCCCAGAGCCCCAGTCTTGATTCCTGCCTTGTAGAGCAGTGCCTCGTGAGCCTAGAGCCCCTTCCACCAACCTCAGAGCCCCTGAGGAAAACTACCCAGCCACTCCCATCCTTCATGCCAGAGAGTGTCCCTTGGTCCAGCCCAGCTTTCGTTACTGTGACAGTGGTCAGGCCACCCAGCTTTCTAAGCCTCCATCCCTCCATGCACACGAAGAGGGAGTTGAACAGGTCACCTCTTGAGGTTCTCCCCCTGCCCTAACCAAGCCTCTGACGATCGCCCACACCTTGCTGAATCCTACGGACATCTCTGCGTGTGCAAGCCGAGGAAAATCAAACGCCCTCAGAACAACACCCCCAGAGGTCAGGGCCTGTGTGCAGAGCCCGGCACGAAGGAGGACTCTCCCAGGCCACCTAGAAACCTGCAGTGTCGATGTCTGGGCAATTCTCACAAATCCCCAGGGAGACTCCCTGGTCACTGTCCTCTCTGTGCTCGGCATGTACACAGAGAGGGAGAAAGGCCTTTGCAGCTCCCCCACTGAAGCTGGAAGAAAGCTTTTCAACTTGTAATGAAGCCACGGAAAACAGAGATCCAGCAAGTTACTCTAATGCTGTACTATCCAATATGGTAGTGATTAGACACAGGTGCAATTTAAATTTTAAAATAAAATTTAAAATTCAGGTCCTCGTTCATACTAGCCACAATTTCGAATGCTCAGTAGCCACCGGTGGCTAGTGGCTGCCATAATGGGCAGTGCAGCCCTAGCCTGTACGCTCTGTGAGGGCAGGGATCTTTGACAGCTATATCCTGGCACCCGGCACAAGGCCTAGTCCACGTAGATGTTCAATAAATACTTCATGAATGAATGAGTGAATGACTTGAGTGAATGAAAGGGGAAATGTCTTGTAGCTAATAATACACCTAAGTGTCATATATTATCATGGAAAATATCACTGTCGTATTTTCCCAACTAGGCCACTTGCAGGAGACAGCCATACCGGAAGCCATATTTGCTGGCTGTGTGGCCACAGAGAGTGACCTAACATCTCTGAACCTTACAAGTCTCACTCATCTGTGAAATGGGTAGTAACAACCACCTCAGAGGTGGGAGTGAGGGTCATGTTAGATAACAACCGAGGGGCTACTCAGCACTGGGGGCTTGTTTCTCCCTCCCTTAGTGGTTAGAGAAAAGCAGAGATCACCTGCCATGGCCTGCAAAGGGACAAATTTGGATGAATTCCCCAAAATCCCTACAGGAAGGTTCCTCTCTAGCTTCAAAGCCCTAATGAAGTGAGGACCCATCGGTCTCGGGCTCAGACTCACAGCCGCTCCCTGATATCAAGGGGGCCAAACCGGAAGGGGAATTGGGCCACAGTGGCAGGGGAGGCAAGGGGCCTGAGGGGGCCTGCAGGAAAGGGAGGACTCGGCTTCAAGAGACCAAAAGTCAGTACAACCCAGACTCCTCTATTTCCAGGGGCCGGGGCCCGGCTCTCTCCCCACTCCTGCCCCAAGCTTGAGTAACCCGAGAAAAGCACCAGAAATAACCTCTTAAAAATGCACAACTTGCTGAGTTTCCAAGCACCAAGTGAATCTGAGTCTCAGTCACCGAGTGCTGCCCTGTTTAGGGGTCTCCAGGGCCCAGGGACGAACCAGAAGCAGGTTAGAGCCCAGAGCAGTGCTCAGGGCCCGTCAGTCCTTCCAGGTTGTCCCCACCTACCTTGAGTTTCTCCCTGTTCTCGGTGTCCTCACCTCCCAACAGTCTCAACAAAGGGTCTGGAAGGTGACAGAGCAGAGTCAGAAAGTTTCTGCTGGCATCTAAGTGCCCGTTCCACAGACCACCCAGAGGATGAGGCCAGGGTGCCAGACCCATGTGGAGGACAAGGTCACTGCTGGCCCCCAGGATGTGGGAATGCCCAGGCTCGGGCCAGGCAGGGGCTCAGGAGACAGATGGGTGCGTGGGAAGGACAGAGCAGAAGGGGAAAATCCTCAGGACCCACAGCAGGGCCCACATGGCCTGTCTGCAGAGGTGGGCGCCCCAAGGTCAGCCAGGCAGCCCAGAGGGGATCCTGAGACCACGGACCCTGAGGAATGGCCACACGGGAAGGTCCAAAAGCCCAGCCCTCCATGAGCTACATAAATAAAGGAGTCATGGGCATGAGGCTGCCTGCAGGCTGCATTCTAGCAAGCACTCGTGAGAAGTCCCTGGACCCAGGGTCTGATGGCAGCCTAGGGTGACACATGCCACAAAACACAGGGACTGAGGCTACTACACAGTGGAGTGGGGGGAGCCCTGGGGGTCGGCATGTCTGGGCAGAACTGAAGGTGGTGGGCATGCACCTCTCAGGGGCCGCAGTCTCCGCCTGGCCACCTTCAGGTGCTTGGTCCGGCCCAGGTCCTCTCCCAGCAGGTAGTACCAGCCGCTGGTCTCCTGTCACAAGAGAAGGCGTGACATGCTCAGAGGAGGCAGAGGGCACAGGTCAGGCAGCCACCAATCCCCGTCAAAAAGCAGCAGCTGGACAGCCTCCTCAGGAGCAGCGTCTCTGCAGACACACACACTCCGGCCTCCCTTCCCCGAACCCTCACTTCCCACCTCCAGGAAGCCCTCCTTGATGCTCCAGGCAGAGATGATCCTCCCCTCTGCCGACTTCCCACGCCTCTTGTCCCTGGAGAACAAGTCTACTCACAGGCTTGCCTCCCCCACTAGGCTGTGCACAGGCTCCTTGATGTGCCTAGCACTGTGCCTGGTACACAGCAGGAGCCCAATAAATGTTGACAGAACAGAAGGAAGGGAGGGAGGGAGGGAGGGAGGGAGGGAGGGAAGGAGAGGCCAGAAAGCAGGCATCCTGAGGCCCCTGAGCAGTCCCCAGGGGCAGACATCTTCTCCCAAGAGGGAATAAGGCCAAGACTACAGTCAAGACAAGATAGTTGGGACCCACATGTAGGATAAAGGGTCCTCAGCCACCTACCCCAGACTTCACTTCCAGGACACAGAGCTGGGTGGCAGGGCCACCTGGCAACTCCTTGCAGCAGGCCACCAGAACATCTCCAGGGATATGCAAGAGGTGCACATCCCTCCCCTGCTCAAAAGCCTCCAACGCGGGGAGCGCCATCCAAGTAGAGCTGCGTAAGGGTCTGGCCACCCAGACGGAGGGGCCTCTAGGTCCCAGAGTCCTCACCCAGCCTGAAGAAAAGCTCCACAGAGGATGCTCACTCCATCCCTGAGCACCTGCTAGGCCCAGAAACCTGAGACCTGGCAAACAACGTCAAGGCAACCCCTGGAACAGACCACGAGAAGCACCCGTCCCTCATCCTCCAGGGCAGGGAGTGCTCTGAGCTCTGAGGGACCTGCCTGTGTCCTTAAGGGAAGACACCAGACCTAGAGCCTTCTGGGAAGACTTGGAGCCGCCTAACAACTGGTCTCTGACAAGAATGAGCCAAGGCAGGAACCCAGACCCTTGGTCACACCGGTAACAGTGTTGTTATCAGGCCAGGGGGCACCTGTCTCAGTGGGGCACCATCTCACAGACTGAAGCCCCGCCGCAGGGCTTCCAGACAAAGGCCTCTGCCTGTACCAGCCCTGGCCTAGGTGGCCTGACCCTGCCAGAAGCTTCCCTAGGACCCACCTTGTCCGGACTCAGGAGGGACTTCACCCCGAAGCTCATGCAGCCGATGAGTCCACTCTGTCTGGGAGAACAAGAGAAGCTCGAGTGAGCACCTCTTCATGGCACTACATTGGGAGGTCGATTGTCAAGTGTAACATAGGTTTGCCTGATGCACTGTGGTTTACGAAGCACTTTTACCTGCATGGTCTCATTTGATCTTTCCAACTTTGTGAGTGAGGCTGGAGCTATTCTCTCCACTTCACAGAGGAAAAAACTGAGGCTGAGTTGATCCCCTTGCCAAGGTCACAGGACTCATTAGTAGTAGAGTCCCATGGGAAGCCAACCACAGAAGCTCAGAGTTACCTCGGAGGCTTGAACTGTTCTGGTGCTGGTAGGTCTGAAGAGCCAGTCCCCAACGGGAATTTCAGCTCCCACGTCTGCTGGTGATGCTCAATCCAGGAGAAAAGTTATGGGACCTCAAGCTCAAGAGGCTTTGTCTTAGGTCCAGGCAAGACCTGGGCAGTGCTTGGACAGTTCCAGGTCAAGGTCCAAACCAATCTGGCACACAAAAGTTGCCAAGAGCACCCTGACCTGGCTGCCAGTGGGCCAGTACACACGAGCCAGGGTCAGGACTCATGTGCAGACAGGCTGAGTTCATTTGGGTCCTACTTGACTAAGGGTAATTCAAAGTTCCTGAAACATGTCCATCATTGAGTTCCAATGTGCAACACTGAGGGACTGATTGATACCTGGCAGCTTCCAACAGTGATGGCATAGATGAATATTAATGAAATGCCAAAAATAATATTGCTATTTTGAGATAAAAGCAAGTTTACAAATCTATAGTTTAATGAGAAGGATGTCCACCAAAATATTAACAATGGGTGTATCTGGCAGGTAGGAATAGAAAGGTTTTTCTTTTCTCCTTTGGGTTTTTACTGTTTTTAAATTTTCACTGGGAACAAGCGCTACTTTAGAAATCAGAAAAAAAAAAAAGTAGTAGAAATGTATTTGCAAGTACTTCTATTCTACCACATCTTTCTCTACCCTAACACTAGAGTTGCTTTTTTTTTTTTTTTTTCCTACCTCTTCTCTCTTAGCATATCGCCAACTCAGGCCTCTTCAGAGATTGGTTTAATAGCTATTAATCAAGAAACAACATGGGTATTAAGACTGGAGCAGAACCCTGATGGTTGACTTCAATATGTGAGGGACCCACACAGACGAGGGATTCAGCATATTCTGGGGAAGGCACCATATCAAAGCCAAGGATGTAATGAGCTGCCCAGATGGGTAGTGAACTAACTCCCTGGAGATGTGCCTCCTCGGAGCCCGGTCTAAGGGGGCCTGAACAAGTCCACAGAACACCCTGAAGAGCCTGTCCAAGTCCTGTGCCCCAGAGCCTACTCCTGAGATCAGACTCAGTATGTCCAAGGTGGGGTCTGCGCATGGGGGTCTGGAGAAAGCTATCCAGGGGATCCTACAGGGCACCCACCTGTGCCTGCCCCAGTCGAGGACCGGTAGTGTACAACAACTTTATAAATACATTTTGTTTGGATTCTCCAGAAAGGGTGGCAGCCTACCGCCTGACAGTCCCAAGCAAAACAAAACTGGCTTCTTGCCGGAAGCCAAGCCGATTGAGGGCCAGGGATGCAGAATGCTGGGGATGGATTCTCAAAGCTGGTACCCCTCCCCCACAGATGCACACTCTGCACCAGGCCATGTCTCCCCAGGTACTCTCACTCTGCTACCACCCCCGCCCCCAGCTCTCTCTTCCTGCCCCTGCTTTCCTGCAGCCCGGGCTGTACCTGCTCTCTTCTCCTTCTTTGCCCCCTCCCATCATACCAGGCCATATTAACCATCTACCGATAGAGAACAGCGTAGTCACTCCATTAAAGCGACCCTTCCACATCCACCTGCCCACCCAGCACCAAAAACAAATACTCCTCCCTCCTGGCAAGTGGCCAAGTCAGCACTAATGGAGGGGCAGCTGCAGTGACCAACATGAGTGGCAGACACTGACCTGAGCTGACATCCCAGAAAAGCCTTGTCAAGACTTTGCCAAAGTCCTCATCACTGATTTAATTGTGTGTGTCAACACATTCAAAAGCAACCCAGCTGGTATCCAGGTGCCCACACTGCCTTGCTGTACACTTTTCTTTCACACTGAGTATGGCTGTAACTTTCTAAATCTCCAGGCAGGATGCTTTAGCTGTAATAAAGGCTGCCTCTCCCTGCTCTTCAGTAAGTGGAAATTTCACCCACTGGGGCTTAGAGAATACTAAATGGTTAATAGCCTCCCGTGAGCTTTGCTTCCTGCTAAGGGGCCTCCAATGATTTCATGATAATTTAGGCCAAGCAAATGGTCACAGTTAATGTCCATAAGCAGGAATCTCTAAGTGTTCTTCAATTAGCTACTTCTGAAGCCTGTTTTTGAAAACCTTTGGAAGAAGAAAGACTTTTTCTACATGCAGCCTGAGTACACGGTAATACACTGGTCAGGTAATAAACTTGGGACACCGCCTGAAATTTCTCTAGGCACAAAGTCTCAGGGGCCAAGCCTTGGGTACTTCTGAATGCCAAACCCTAAGCTCAGTGAAGCCTTGACAAACGGATGAATCCATCATGCCCACGTTGGCAGGCACTGGGCAAGGAGCTGCAGCATTAAGGAAACAAGACAAACATTCAGGAATTTAAATACCAGTTCAAGACAGCAATACAAGGGATGTCACTAGACAGAGTGAGACTGAGAGATGAACAGTACAGGCAACAAATGCTGAAAGCTTAGAGAGGCAAGAGGTAGTTTAGGACTGAGATGCTCAAAGAAGGCCTAAAGAGTTAAGCCAAAGAGAAGGAAAGGAAGAGCATTTCAGGCAAAGGCAACAGCTGGTACAACAGCTCAGAGGTAAGGCTTCATGGAACATTCAAGGGCAATAGTACAGCCAGCCCTCCGTATGAAAGGATGAGGAACCCATGGATACGGAGGGCCGACTATACTATACCACTTTATATAAAGGGACTTGGGCATCCATGGATTTTGGTATCCACGGGGGTCCTGGAACAAATCCCCCATGGACACAGAGGGATGCCTGTACTTGGCT